ACAAAGATAGCGACTCGCTGGTGAACAAAGTGGAGCATTTATCTGCAAAACAGCCAGATATTTCCCTCAGGAGTTGTCAGAGTCCAAAAACAGAGCTAAAAGGAGAGTGAATATTGGACTTACGTTGGTCACAAGTTAAGAAACGCAATTTAAAATGAATACTAAACCTGCTACTGTCCCCTAACTAACTAATTAACTGTTATTCTTAAATATCAGCCTTATAACACTGTCATTGTTGTGTTTACAACTTATTCTGTTGGCCTAAAAGAGAATTATTGTACATTTAAGGAGACATTAGTGAAAGAGCAAGCAACTTTCATAGCAAACATGGAATTTTGTGTTTTTTTTGATTATGGAATCAAACTGCAAAAAGGAAACAAGCATTTACAGATAAGTAAACCGTAGTGGAAGTTTGCAGGGGAGACTACGTTGAGTTTTTTCTGCCAAATAAATCACTCACTGAACACTGATTTGCATGGAGGATGCTAAATCAAATGTTCAAACCACTTCCATGTTAACAACAATTTTGTCGACTTTCATCAGCCTTCCAGTCTTTACTCTCTTTTCCCTTACTCCCTCTGTCCCCTTCTTCCTCCTCCCTGTACTCGCCTTTCTCCCCCTCTCCTCTCCATCTTGACACAGTGCACTGAGCCTAATCGTGGATAATTGGGTGGGAGGGGCAGTGGGCTGGCCTTGCCTTTGTGTGCAAAGGGCAAGTGGTCAAGTTAATGGGGCCCTTGTGTCGAGCCTGGAGCACTCTGTCTCTCTCTTTTTCTCTGTTCGATCACTCACTCCGCCAGTCAATCTCAGTCAGCTTCTCTTTTCTTTCACGGATGAAGCTTTTTTTTCCCCGCTGTTTCGATCTACTTTCGCCTCATTTCCAGCGGTCTCACTTCGCCTTTCCTTCCAGCCAGTCAGTGTGTCTTGTCCAATTTCTTTTCTCTCCTCCTCCTCCTCTGCCCTCTTGTCTTTTTCAGCCTCTCTTTCTCTTCTTTCTCTGTTTGCAGCTTTTTCTATCTCTTCTCACTGTCTCTCCAGCAGTGTTGGGGAGGAGAGAACAGACCTCTTTAAAATATTAAAAGACAGATCAGGAGGCCTCGCTGGTCCCTCCCTTTTGCCAACTCTCCCTCCCTCCTTCTGACTGATAAACAGAAGAGTGAGTCTGCAGGATTAGCTGCTGTGTACTGCCTTCCCTCCCTCCTTTATCCCTCTCTCTTTTCTTCCTGTGGAGGGGTACACTGTTGACTGGGCTTGATATATGTGTGTGTGTGTGTGTGTGTGTGTGTGCGTGTGAGTGTGTGTTACCTTGTCTGGCATCAGCTTAGCCTGCAGGAGGCCATTGTGTTTGAAACACAGGCCACAGCCGATCTGGGCCCCAGAGGAAACTTTATTACATCTGTGAACATTTAACACTGGATTGTTAATAATGAAACACACGTTTTACACAATTAGCTTTGTCAAACAGCTCCACATGATAAGCATTTATTATATGAATCATTACAGAAGACCTGTAGACATCTGCAAGGTGACAGAGAATACATCATTTCTGTAATTGTGATACTGAAATTATTAAATATTTATTCGTAATAGTAAAATAATTTGTATAAATCAAATAATATTGTATGTTATAGCTGATCTGTTAAATTGTCCATTTTCAAATGGACAATTTAAAAAGAAAGAAAAAGTCCAGAGCCCCAAATTTCTTGAAGAAAAAGTATTTATTTTTATTCATTCACAAAAAATTGCCCACCACAGCAAAGTATAACATTCATGACCCATTAATTACAGTGAAGCAGAGAGGATTTGATATACTGAACAGAAAAACTCACTCTATGAGGCCATGTCCACACTAAGGTGGATGAATTGTAATATTTCATGGAAGTAAATACAGTCTGTGTTTCTTGTGTCAAACCCAAAAAAGAATATAAACCACACAATAATTGTACATTCATATTTTTGAAAGTGCTACAAAGTGAAATACAACAATAGCAGCTTCAACTTTATTCACACTGGGGAATTTTCTTGTAATTCTGTTTTTGGTGGCCTGAAAAAAAGGATCAGTGTGGATAGAAGTAACTTTAAATTGATCTGGATTAGTGTGGACATGGCCTTCAAAGGACCAACAATTCTAAGAATTCTGTTTGATAATCCAAATAATAGCCTAGCTGAGACATCCCACGATACAGTGACATAAATCTGTTGGAATAGAGCATTCCTGCATATTTGCCCAAGGTAATTCTCAGCTGCAGCGCATAACCTCCTCTGGAAAACACATCAGTGGTTCCTTGACTGTCTGATGTCACAGTGAGAAGTGTCCTAGCACACAGCACTAATAGCGAGACCACAAGTGACGACATCACTGTCTAAAAAAACGTGACATCGCAGCAGATCGGCGGTGCACCAGGTGAAAGATTTTGCCACAAATAGAGGCAGTGATGCTGCAAGGAGCAGCAATAGCGCTGATAACAGTGGTAAACAGGGGCGCTCAATGCCGCAGTGTTGCAAAATGACATCACTGCTAGTGGTGGTGACGTCGCACTAGACAGTGATGAGGTCACTGTACACATTCACAGTTGGGATGGTATTCATGTGTTAGCCCGCAGATATCAAAGGCATACAGCAAACGGCATTACAGATAAAAATGTAATTAAACACACTTCTAAACATTTGCAATGGGGATGTTTTTGCAATGCAATTTAAGTCCTCAAAGCATTGAGACCACTGATAAAACTAGCTTCATTTACTTTTCTGAGTAGTTACACACTGGGAACACCTCTCGTTGGTGAAGGTGGATTGTTTTTTCAACAAGAGGGATGCAAAACAACAGCCAATGGGAGATACTGCATAGCTTCTTGGCTGCTGTATAAAACAATGGATCACAGTGAAATGTGGAAACACTTTACTAGTGATAGGTACAACTTTAGGCTTGAGTGGCCCACTGACACTTGGCCTTTCTTTAATACCACAAGAAACAGAAAACAGCTGAATGCATGGAAAAAGACCTGAGTAGAACCATTGATTGTGCCGATAGAAAAAAATGCCAACAGAAAATGGAGAAGCAATTGGTCTGAAATGTGTGAAAGGTTTTTGCACTTGAAGCTATGAGGAGCATGTGCAACTTTCAACAACTATGCTTGCACGTAGTCTATCAACATGAAATCATATTCTAACCATGCCCACCGGATGTGTCGTGTTACTGTTTTTCAAATGATTTCAAATGTCGTTTTGCAGACACTTTCTGTGTTTTACATGCATACTGAAAACAAACCTGCAGCTCATTTATGCACAGATCCGTACCTTCTGAATCGTGTATATCAGCAGAAATAAAACCGCAGCTTTACTTCTCCTGCTTCAAAGAATCAATCGGAGAAGCGACATAAACAAACAAGACGATACAGTTTGGCTGTATATACTTAAAGACTGAATCAATAACAAATGAACGCACCATTAAATATTAATATTGGCTTTGCATACATTCAAAAGTGAATGTAGCCCTTCATAGACCTGTAAAGCATGAACGTTGACAATGGAGTCACAGAGCCAGTGGACATTGGCACACCAGCTAGACTGGCAGCAGATTGTCTGCACTAAGTGGACAGTAGGGGTAAGAGACCATTGATATGTCTGTATTACACAAAACAAGGAAAAGAAAAAGGTGCAAAGAAATCCTGCTCTGTACAGCAAACCATACATCTTTTAATCTGTTCCACAGTATTGGGGTCAGTAGTCAATAAATGTTAGTAGGAGTCATTACGACTTATGTGCATGTATTCTCTCTCTCTCTCACTGACTCTCTTCAGACGCACTCACACTTCCTGAAGGTGGGTTCAGATTAAGAGCGTTTAGCAGCTGCCATAGATTGTGATGTTAGATTCAGTTAGCCAGACCTACTTCTGTGTCCGAATATGTTTGATATCAGAGTCATTACAGCAGACACAATGGGGCTTGATATGTATGTGACACAATCATTTCGGACTTTCATCAGTGGCACTTTAAAACAATTTAACTAACTCCCACTAAAGCAGGAGTTGATTTAAAAAGTGACATAGTGTGGACTACTTGAATCCGTGGCGATGTTGCAGCGTACTATGCTAACTGTAGCTCCAGGGCAGCAACAATTGCTCCTTAGTCTGAACGTGCCTTAATATGTTAATGTACTATTGTAAGAAATGCACAAAAGACGTGCTTAATGCTGACCTATGACTGGGATGAATGAGTTGTATTAGATGAAAATTAAAGCGGGGGTAGAAGGAAACAAAGAGGAATAAAGGAAACACAAAGGAAACCGTGAGCTGCTCCACAGTCTGTGATGGTTAATGAATTAGAGCTGGCCTCCATGCTGGGGCCAGAAACACAGTAGCACAGGTTAATACTGACAGGTTAAAGAGGGCAAGATAGAGAAATGTCCATGTAACTGACTAAACAACTGACTGGCTTGTTGGCTGGAATGGTGACTGGATTACTGGCTAATTAATTACCATAATAGATAATTGAATAGACAGGTTACTTGACTGGCCGGCCATATGACTGTTTGGCAATGTGGTTGTTGGATTGGTACTTTCCTGGATGGCTGATTAAATGCAGGGATGAGGCAAACTGATTTAAGGGCTGACTGACTGATTGACTGTTGTGGAGACGGACAGTAGTTATTTGGCAAATGGCAGATGGTTAAAACTAACTAGGCTGGAATGTATCCGCCGCTCCTTTTTCTTCCCCCTTAGCCACAGTCAACATATCCCCACTGCTTTGGACATGAGCTTTTTTTCTTCAACACTTCAAACTGCAAAACATGCACGCTCAAATATTTTTCAACGCCATGCATCATCTGATAATAGATCCTCCCAGTGGCCACTGTACCTATGTGAAAAATGCCTCAAATGTGACCACAATTTGTGTTGCTCCCTGTGACTTAACACTTGATATTGGGACCAACGAATCCCTGTTAACTGGTACTGCTCTTTCAGTTTCTTCCTCCTTACTCTGATCTCTTGTGGTTCACATTGGTGACATGACTCTGTAGCATCGTTCCAGCTCAAATATCAAAAAATATATGGAGTGGTAATGTGCAGAGCTTGTTTGGGTTTACTGAGTGTGGCTGACAGGTTGAGGTCCTTTGGTCAAGGTGATGAGGAGAGGATAGTGGATGTTCTCATCGTAGGCGTCTTTTCCCTCTGTCAGCATCTGAGAAACACACAACATGAAAAGCATTAACTAGGCCGATAAAATCTACAGAAAATATGTATCCAAAATTTCGGTTTGATAAAATATTTTTCTCTAATTTCATTAATACTTAATGTTTCAGGGTGTCCTGGTTGCCTGTGGATTGAAGACGCTGACCATGTATCACAACATCGGCGGTTTGAGTCCTTAGTTGCGTGTTACACTGTAACCCCTCAACGCCTGCCATCTTTACGCTGTCATGCTATGGAAATTAAGGCAAAAATGCCCCCAAAGCTACAAATGTATTACTTTTATTATAATCTAATTTTCTTGTTCTCTTCTGTGAATATTTCATTTGAAAACCCTGTCAAGAAAATCATACTTGCAACCTGACAGGTCAGGTCAAGATCATTAGAAATAACAAGCTCAGAAGCGGACAATATTGAAAAGGATGTGCCGCACATCAGCTGAAAAAAAAACATAAGCGGAAACTAATGACAGAAAATAAATGACTCTAACCATTGAAATGAAATATTACCACTGCATTAATTAACTAATTGTTCCAGCTCAAGTGTGCAAACTCCTGCACACACACACACACACACACACACACACACACACACACACACACACACACACACACACACACACACACACACACACAGAGCTTTGTGGGATCCCCGTGTGCCCTTTTAAGCAGACTTTGCAGTGTGGGCATGAACCTGCTAATTAGCTCGCCCAGCGTCTGGCCAAATGATCAGAGACTTATGAAAGTGAGTTTAGTGGGTCTGCTCATGTGAGAGTGTGTGATTGTCTGTGTGTACGCGTGTGGTGAGACCAGGATAGGGCAGAACTGTGTGAAATGGAAACAGAAACTCAAACTGACCCCGAATTCATTCCCGTCAGCAGCATGTAAGTAATATGCAAGTGACAGTCCAACCAACTCAAACCTACTTACATTAACTCAAATACTGACTTTGTGCTCTTTTCCCCAAAAAAATATGAAAATCAAGTTGCAGGGGCTCTTGTTTTATTGCATTTCTTCATCAAAATATGCAGATCCGCTAATACTCTTCTGCACTTCTACTCCTCAATGAAAGAGACTGTATAGTTTGTTTTAGCTCAGATAGACCTCAGTGAAACTCAAATCCCTGGAGGTCTCTCGCTTTATTCAGCTTTATTAAGACACACATAATACGTTTAAAAGACAGCTACAAACAGTTATAAATGCCTGTGATCTGCAGTGTAGTGTGTGTCTGTGCAGGTAGCATGTAGTGATGGAGAAGTTCAAGAGGGGAGCAGGGCTATGGACTTTGGGTGGTTGTTAGGAAGCGTTCAGGCTGACATTAGCACTGCATGACTAAACGCAATCCCCTATTCATTTCAATGAGACTACTGCATTCACACAGCAGGGGCGCCAACGCAGACAACGGCATCAAAAAAGTTAAGTCAAGTCTCATTTACAGAGCACATTTGAAAAGAACAGGTGTTGACCGAAGTGATTTAAAGGGTATCTAAAACATTTAAATGATAAATTGTATTGAAATAATGAATACAAAAAGAAATAGATAAATAACAGTAACACACAAAACTGAAAACAATTTCCTCATCCCACAAAAAAAGTTAAGGCTCGCTCAACTTTTGCCCGCAACACATTCCAGGTGGATCACTTGTTAACATTACTTAATTATGTATCTATTATCCATACACATACACCTGTATATGATGGAAGTATAAAGGTGTAACATTAGAGAAAGTGGTGGTCCTGAACACTTCTTATGAAAATAATCCACAATGTCACAACACTAGGCTTGTGTGATTTAAGTTACTACCTCACTCACATGTCTCATCACTCTTTTCCCCACCCTGTCCTCACAGTGAGAGATCTTCACCTCTACACCGTCTCTTCCCATTCCGCCTTTTTCAAATTGCTCCCCTTTTCTGCTGAATATGACCAAACTGCTCTGCCTTACCCCTCTCTCCCTCGGTCCCTGCCCCCCCCCCCCAGTACCCTTCATGTGCGTTATCTTCCTACGGCCATCCCTCCAGGCACCGGCCGGTGGTTGAACCTCTGACCCCCAGAGAGAGAAAGAGAGATCGAGGGAGGCAGGGAGAGGGAGAGCAGACGGCCCAGGGGTGGTTGGGCGTGGAGGGGCAGCTGCCTGCCCCCCTGTGCTAAGCCCGCTATGGGGACCACAGCCAGCATTCACATTCAAATTCTACCAGGCGGAAGGAGCAAGGAAGCGATAGATGGAGGGTTAGAGCGGGAGGGAGGGGGCCTTAACACGGTGAGGGCTAAGAGCTTGCAGAGGTGAAAAGTTTAACAAGCAAAGCTGTTCCTCCTGATCGCAGGCTGCCTAATCAGCTTCATGGGTGGCTGGCTAAATCGGCTCTCAACGCGACCCCCCACCCCACCAACCCAACAATCTTTTCTCTTCTTTTTTTTTTTTTTCCCTTTCCAAGGTGCAAGTCATTTATTGTATTGCCACTTTCGCCCCAGCTTCTGTCTCCCTCTCTCGTGCTCTCTATTTCTCTGCCCACTTCGTTTTTTCCGTTTATTCTTGCCCTGCTTGTATAGACCGGAGAGAAAGTGAACAAGGTGGAAACAGAGAGAGGAGGGGGGCTTTGAGACAAGGGAGGGATGGATGAACCGGATGTCTGGGGTCTCTCTCGGCAGGATTATAGGAAACAGAGAATGAGGGATTGGGTGGATGGAGAGACGAGTAGAAGAAGGGATAGAAGGACAGGCTTGAATAAATAGAGAAGTGGGTCGTGATGTAGGAAATGGGAAGATAGAGGGGAGCAGAGGGAGGGAGAGTGGAGAAGGGTGAAGGAAGATATAGGGGGGAGGGAGGAAGGGGGTGGCCATGCAGCTGAGGGGGAAGAGAGGAAAAGAATGAAAGAGGGAAACAGAACGAAAGAGGCAGGGAAATGAGTGTGAGTGCACGGACACAGTGGGGATACTATTTATGCATGCGAGAGAGACGGGGGATGTACACATGTGCACACACACTCTAATGTGTGTGTGTGTGTTTGAGAGAAATTAAAATTCATGACTCTCTCTTCACAACCATTTGAGTAACAAGATTAAGATGGCGGGTTAGAAAATAGCGCTGGCATTATCAGGCTGCTTGCAGTCCCTCCAGCTGCTTGCCTCTCTATTCCACAACAGTGGGGATAAGAGGATAACGCGCTAGCCCTGTCTGCCCGTCCCAGCACACGCCTTACACACACACACACACACACACACACACACACTACCGCTGCACATCGGGCCTGCCTGCCTGCTGTTTGTAGTCCCTCGAGTGTGTTTGTGTCAGAGGGTGAAAGTGTGTGTATGTTTGGAGAGTAGCGAGCTGGGGGTCTGGAGATGGTTTGTAAAAAGAAATGCTAAAAACACTCCCAGCTCACACAAACCCGTACAAAGCAAACATTAAGATAGGCAGCATATTCCAAACAAAATCAAATCTGACTTGTGTCAAATCTAGCACAGGAACGAGGAATGCAGGGATATGCACAGCTACTGCAGCCACGTTTGTTTAACGGCGTCTGTGCCAGATGGAGGAGCTTGTGAGTAGCAGTGGAAGCATGAAAGGAAGTAAACTCGGACTCATTTAGAAACTCAACCAGTTACAGGAGATTGTTGCGCGACGGTGTGAATATTTAGATTCGTTTGGATTTTGATTGGAGTGAAGCTTGCTTAATTATCACCTTGTTAAAGCACAACATGTACTCTAACAGTAGAACACAGTTGAATTCTTAAACATTAATTTGATTACTTTACATTATTTTGTGTATACATTTGCCATATAATGATAAACTGACCACAGAAAACTGTCGGTATTGATATCTTGATAATAATTTCAACCATATCAGCTACACAAATATTTGAATTACACTGCGCGGTGGCCTACCGATCTGTTCAATTTTTAACTACAATTGGACTTAAAAATAAAAGATGTGCACGTTCATCTCATTTTTGATAATTTTCTCATAAACATAACAAATTAGACTGATCAAATGAGCACATCAATGGAAAACTTTACTACATAATGTATAACTTTTATTCCAACACTATCGAATTAAACGCAGTGACAATGACTAAAAGTTAATTTAGTGTAATATTAAGCCAGTGTTTTCTTATGAATTCGATATATTTTCACAGATAAAATTGTCAGTATTAAAAAAGTAACATGTAGACTTTTCAGTTCCATCTTTCTCCTCAAAATGACTACACCTGCTCTTGGTGGAGACGTCTTTGATTTTTTTAAGCCACAGTGAAAGAAAATCCATAGTGTGTGTTCCACTGCCGGTTCTGATATGCATTTGTCTTGTGTTCTGGTCCACCAACTGAAAGTAAATATAGCTGAAGAAAGCTAATCTGTAGTGCAAATGAGTAGCAGCTGCTAATTCGGCTGTATGTGTGTGTGTGTGTGTGTGTGCGCGCGCACACATTGGTAGTGTATGTTTCACTGTGATATCATCATGCGGTGTGTGTTTGTGTGTAATGTCTAGCCAATATGCTGTCTGAGTGATGTCTGGTCTGTGTGGGATTGTGATATAGCTTGTTTCTTAGCTGTGTGGCTGTGGCTGTGTGTGTGTGTGTGTGTGTGTGTGTGTGTGTGTGGAATGGTCAGTCAGGCACATACAAGCACACACACAGAAAGCCACATAGGGCTTGTTCAGAGTGTTCATCAGAAGATAAGCAGAGGAGACTTAATCACCTTCAGATGTGAGGGGGGCACTTCAACTTGTCCTCATATCCACACGCAGCACCTGACCCCACTGTGTGTGTGTGTGTGTGTGTGTGTATGTGTGTGTGTGTACTGTTTGCATCAAGCAGATGGAAGTGTGCATTTCACGTGCGAGTCTAATGGTGTGACATTCCCCTTGCATGTCAAAGAATAGAAAGAAAGACCAGCATCATTTTCATAGTTTTGTTTGATTTTTATATCCCACAACAATTTTAGTCTGAATTTTACTGTTCACATTGTGTTGTTAACTCTCATCACTAAAACAGGTCTGAGTGGCAATTTTCCCAAGCGGTTGAGGTGCTGAATCATTAGAATTATTCGATGGCTGTATTCTGTGGCCTTGAGGCTCAATCAATTCTCTCCGCAGCTTTTTCAAAGAAAGTTGTGTTTCTTTTAAATTTACGGCAATGGCAGCATCCACTTTAATCCTACCGGAGCCACTTCTTTCTTTCCGTCCCTCTTACCTTATTTTTTCTCTCTCTTCTCCTTTTCTTCCTCCTTTCAAAGTCAGTTTTTATTTATTTCCAAGAATCTTGTGTGCTTTTACTGATACAACATATGTTGCTGTTCCCACTTCACCTGAGGCCAAAACCACCAACTATAACAAATAACATCTGAAGCCATTTCTCTTAAATTGAATGTACTTTACAAGTGTTCATCCATTTATGTTTGCTCAAAATCATTTGTGTTTTTCTGTTTAGAGAGAGTCTCTCTAAACGAAACAGAAAATTTTAACTTTTAACTTGTCCTCAATTAATCAGGGTTATTTTTAAATAAAAAAATACAAATCAGCAACAAAACATATTCATATAATACTTAATTTATTACATTTACTGGCAAAAATTCCTGGAAATGTCCTGCGTCCCACCTGGTCTTAGGTTTTTGCTACTAAAAGACTGATTTAGATGTAGGGAACGATGGTGGCTTTGGTTAATTACTGAATGCGTAATTGAATCTCGTGTTTCAAGTCATGGTTGATTTTTTTTTAAATATTTAACTAAAACCACTTTCTTTCCCCGACCTAAACTGAATGCTGGCCTAAAAATAACCAACAAAATGTTATTTGTTTATTTTCTATGAGGGGATATTGCAGAGAAAACAATTGGCATACGCTGTAGTATATTTACAATAAACAGTTTCGTTGTTATGTTAAAACAAATGTAACCTGGTTGGCATTATGTTTCCAACTAAATGTGTTTGCTAATTTAAATTAGTTGTATATTAACATCTTAACTTTTTAAGAGACAGGATTTGCACAAACTGGTGACAGACAATGCAAAATGTCATGCAGGGTGGTGTCGATTGTGACTTGACCTCAGCTTTAAACCTGTAAATGTGTGCTCACCCGAAACATGTTTGAAAGGTTCCAGAGTCCCTTATATATAAAATGTGTGAGGGATTGTGATGTTAAATCTAGTGGAGGGCTAATAGTCAAGAGAGAGAAGGAGAGGAGTGAGATTCTTCGATGCTGAGGCTCAAGCCACTTTAATGGTCAGTCTGTCCAATTGTCCCACCAGTGTAGGTGAGCGTGTGTGCACCAATTTAGTCCACTCCTTGCTGTCCTGTTCTTCTGTAGCTGTGTATGTAATGGAGTTAACAGCTGGACTCCACTTCTTTAAACACTGCCTACTTGTGTGCTTTCTGTCACTTCTCTTTGTCACTGTCCTTCTCTCTCCTTGCCTTTCCCTCTCCGTCTTCCTCTCTGTGCCAAGTTAAGGCCGCTTGTTTTAGCTCCGGTGTGTCTCACAAAGTGTCTCTACACCTATGACGGCACCTACCTGTCACCCTAAGCGGCCACACCTTCAATTATGCCTAACTTTAAGGGTTAATGATTGACACAGGTGAGTTATGTAAAGCAGAAGCCAATAAGAGGGTTCATCTGTGTCAAATTAACCACCATGAATAATTACATTTCAGCACAGAATGAGGACTGTGAATTCCATGTTGTTCCTTGTTCCCTGGAATTATTTTGCGGACTTGGAAACCATCCTTCAATTTACACCAAACATTTTCTTACAACTGCTGCCTTTTGTTAAAACATGAGGCAAGAAGATACTCTGGTGCCAGGCTGAAGTTCTCACAGAAACTGTTGTTTGGCTGATGGTCAATACAGCAAAACAGTTGCACAGATCATGCACGCTGCTGTTGTTTTATCATACTGTGGTTATAGTCACAAATATTTATATGACTCATTCTATGAGCACCTTGCCTGCAGACTTTGATAGCATCAGTTTTGATTATGTCTCTTTAAACAAAACAGCTTTTTTTTGTACGGGATGCAGAGTGCTTTGGAGTCAAGCTGACTGTCCGAGTGTCTTTCTGTTCTTGTGCTAGCTTCTTACCTTTAAGTGAACATCCCAGACCTGAGCATCATACTGCTGGTGTTGAGAGGCACAGAGTCCGGCCTGCTGGGCCAGTTGACAAAACAGTCTCAGAGTTTCACCTCGCAGTGGAGCAAACACCAACGCCATGCCCTGGATAGGAAATGAGAGGAGGCTGAGTACTTTTAGAGTGTTGTTTAGCTTTACAAACACACACAGTTAGTTGCCTGTATGCCTCTCTTTCCTTTGTTTTTTACTGGGTAAATATTAGATGATAAACCAAAAAAAAAACAAAGCTCTACTAACCCAACCAACCTGTGAACACACATGTGTCGTCTGACTTGTCTTCTCATGCGACGTGTACAAGTGTTTGTGTCTGTGTGTGCGTGAGAACGACAGAGGGACAGTATATGTGCACATTCATCACAGACGTCCCGCAAACACTAAGAGGATTACCAACAGGTTCAAAGTTTCTTTGAAATCCTTCAGCTTTCAGTTGTTTTTCATGTTGCTCATGTTATTATTGTTTTTAATAAATGAACCAAAGAGGCATGGTCATGCAAACACACGCGTACAGCAAGCAGGATCACGATGATTTTTCATCTGTATAACCCCCCCCCCCAAACACATAGCAAAAGCAAACAAACAACTCCTCCTAGCGCTAATCAGCTGATTAAGGGGATCCAGCCCACCGGATCGACCACCTTTGTCAGAAACAACAAATTAGTGCCATTAGATAGAAGAATTAATTGCTTTGTTAATTGCTTAATCAGCTTAGCAAATTATTAAATATTTGGCAAAGCTGGTTGTGGCAGCGGCAGTCTGATGGCCGACACTCAAATCATATTAGCCCCTAAATTATCTCCACTGGATTAAAGAGAGAGAGACATGAAGAGAGACTTAACACAGATGTACAACAATGGCCAGATGTCACGTCTGTCACTCCAAACAGCGGCTCCTGCATTCAACTGCAACCGAGACACATATTCGCGTTGTAGGTTTTACTGCGGGTGTCACTGTGTGAAATGTCAGCTGAGGAAACGCGTGTCACTGCTGGCAACAACCTGAACGTAATATTAATCATATAATCCTTTTGTCTTTCGAGTTCCCTCTGCTGCTTGTAGAAAATGTAATAAATACTGGCTTTTAAAGTCAGTTAACCTTTTTTTTCTAAACACTAAAACCAAGTGGACAGTTTCACTTTTATGTGCCCGGGTTTTATCATCTGTCGCTGAGTTTTCTGCAGAAAGAGGTTCTAATGAAAACAGGTCTGTGAATTGATTCGAGACAGTGTTTAGGAAATAACTGGTTGCTGTTCAATTTTGATTGTAGTTTGTAATTTGGGTGAACTGACACTTCAATGACTTGGTGCTGTTCTGCAAACCACATTATAACCAGCATGTTAACAAACAACAAGAGAATCAATGTTGAGATTCTAAATGAAGAGACATGTATCCTCCTCCATTTCTCTCAGCCTCATCTCTCCTCACTGTCCATATTCTCACCTTTCCCATTCCTCTCCCTCCTCCTTTCCTCCCATCTTTCCCATCAGTCTCTCCCCTCCCTCACCCCTTCCTGTGTCCTCTCCTCCTCCTCCTTCTTCTTCTTCATATCTCCTTCCCTCCAGTCCTGTATTCACCTCTTTTTCATAAACAGATATTCTGGCCTCTGTACTTAAAACGCACCCCTCCTCCCTCAGATGAATAGAAACCTCAACCCGATCTCTTCCAGCCTTTTGCTTTCTTTTCCCCCATTTGCTTTGGCTGTCACAGCGTGGGGTCTTATCGTGAGGCCAAAAGGGAGAAGTTGCCTCAGATTTATGATTAAGGGAAAGCCGGAGCGAGAGAGACGGAGATCAGAGCGATGCATTCAAGTTGCTCATATTAAGCATTGAAGCATTACATGATATTAATCCTGTCAGACTATTAATGTGTACAGGGTTTTGGGCAAGGCCTAATTATGATTAAGAGGAGTGGGGTGGTGGCTTAGAGGAAGGTGATAAGCAGATATTAGCCACACAGAGGCAAACACACATATACACACACACTTACGTTGGGTCGCAGTAATCTCCTTATAGCATCAACCAGGCTGGCTCTGTACTGGTCGAGAAACAAACTGGGAGGGAGAGGGAGAGGCAGGTTAGAATGCATTTCTATGATAGCAGCTCCAGCTAAAGCAGCAGGCTATTTATTTTCTTTTGTTCACAAATAAATCCACCAACAGGAAGAAGGGGGAAAACAATTTGCATGAGTAAGATGCTCTTCCTTTTTGTTTACGTTTGAGTTTCCATGTGTATTCACCTCAGACTGTGTCGAGGCATTGAGAGGAATGCAGAACATCAGAAAATCCAACGTGCACAGATACCATCGGCAACACTAAACACAAACGTGTGTGTGCGCGCAGACATACACACGATTATGGGGCACTTCAAAGTAGCGCAAAAGCACCTTGAATTTGAGGAATTAATACCTGGAGTGTGCACTCTGAAGTTAATAAGAAGATATAAGTACAAAAACAACAAACAAAGGAAAAATAAATCAGGAATAATTAACTGGCTCTATTGTACATTAAACATAAGCGTACTGTAACATGCACGTGTCTGTGGGAAAGACTGTGTAAATGGGAATTAGAGCATTTGTGCTTGCATGTTGTCACAACATATGCAACTTCACAAACAAAATGATTAGCACCAAAGACCAATTTTAGGCCTACGAACATTTCTGAGAATATCAGTGGGCAAAAGAGAAATGTGAGTTATATACTGACAAACAAATGTTTACATGGTCACTCATGTGTTGGGGAGGTCATGACAATCAGCTCCTTGTAACTTGTTCAAACCCTGATATAAACAGTGTAACACTAATTAAGTGACAAAAGTGTTTACTTCTTTATCCGTACATAATCAACTTTTTGAAAACAAGTTGATTTTACATAATGGGGAGTTTTAGATGGGATGGAGATAATACAACACACACACACACACACACACACACACACACACACACACACACACACACAGGCCCACATCAACTCCAATCATTCTAAACAAAGTAACACCTGTCTCTATTTCCACAAAGACACATTTCAATCCATTATGCAAGTAAGTAGAGCGGTGTGTGTTTGTGTGTGTGTTTGTGTGTACCTATTATCACAGATGAGAGTGGAGTAATTTGACTAAAATGGAACAATACAGTGCGGATTTGACATAATCCGGCACATCCGTCCAACTGGCCAGCGGAGTGACAATCTGGTCGTAACTTTCCAATCACAGCCTCTGACCTGTCCTCGTGAAAAATCCTCTGATCCCAGAGAGGAATGAGAGGTGCACGTCAGAGAACCCGCTCTCTGCATCTCTGCCTACATCTACACAAAAGAAAGGATTTACCATCACAAGCTCTCACCGAAACCAGGATGTGTGTCCGTCTGTGGGAAGTTTGTTATTCTTCTAAGGTTAGACAGAGGTGCAAAAGTTTATTTGACTTGAAAGGTGAGAGGTTTGTGTTTGGTTTATTTTGCCACCGATATGAGTTCACGGGAAAGGCGAGTGGAAAATAGGAAGTGAGCTACGTTGGGTGGAGCCAACAGCTGAAATACACACACACACACACACACACACACACACACACACACACACACACACACACACACACACACTGAGGGCAGGGGAAGGACATCATGTCATTAAAAGGGCAAACAAAAAAAGAGCCAGAGTCATTGCTGATGAAAAGTTCTACAGCTACTGACACTACAACATTGTGACAAATCAAGCCACATACTGTATGTTGCATAAGGTAATCATAACAACAAATACTCATTAATGTAACTCATGTACTGCCAGTCATTCAGAAAAAAAGACAAAGTTTAAGATTATTATTACAGGGCCAACAATTCGTAATTTCCACAAAAACTGGGGAAATAAATGTTATGGAATACAAACAACATGGTACGAATACCCTAAGAATTTGTAAAATGCACCCATCCAGAAGGCAAGACAATGAAGAGCGGAATCTGAACAATGATTTAAGATTTAAAGGGAAAGAACACCACCACTGCTATAAAGCTGGCAGTACTGATCATATAGTGTATCTGCCCATCTTATATCGCTGTTCGTTAATTATTATCTCTGCCTGGAGAATCATGTGAAAGCCCATGGCGTCAGTGGGTGAGTGAGCGTGAAACTCTGTGTCTGTCCAAGGATAATCTCGCATTGTGCTGCAGCAAACTGCATAGTATTTTGGGTGCCCAGATACGGGTGCATGCTCAAGGACCTCTTTTGGTTGCGGTGACTGACACTTCTCAAAACATCTTTTATTGCCAGACTAATTCCAGTGATAACACAGCTGAATGCACCTCCGGACCCCAGTTGCTTCTCTCACTTTAAACACATAGTACAATGTAATGAAAAGTGATATTCTGGTGGGACTTTGCCACTCAGAGGAATGTCTCTTAGTCTATTACACTGTAGGCTGAGAGTCACAGTTAAATAATGCCAGTGTAATAATCTCAAATTGAGTGGAGTACCACTTTAAAGTCGTCTCTGATGCCCCCCCGACTGTCAGAGACCTATTGTCTCACGCTGACCCCCCGACCCAGAACAGCCCTGCGAACTCCAGTCAAAATTGACTGGAGGTCAAAGGTAACAAAACGGGCATGTGTGTGTGTGTGTGTGAGTACGTTGCTGCTATATTAGTCTGCTTACACACGTATGTGAACATGCAGGATGTCGTCAAGGCTGCAAGGCTGAGCCCATGGAAACACATGACATCATCTATTCAGCATTATCTTTTTCCAAGTGGAAATGAAGGGTTAATATGCAAGTTTTTTTATTTGTATGCATTACTAGGATTTTCAAATGTATTACCTAACAATTTATTTGAGGTTTTGCGACACTCGCATACTTATATCATATATTAGTTCATTTTAGGACTTAGGTGTCTTTTTTATATCCAAAATGATCCAAACTAAAACATGCAAGACGGTACTTTGTCAAAATCAGCTCTGAATTTTTATATCAAACTTCCTCCTAAATGTCAACATTTTAAACGACAACCTTGCCGCTATTAGTCTGTAAGTAATAGCCCTTTCAGTATGATTTCAGTTTTCTGTGAATTTTGTTGAAGTTTATTTTTTTAATGTTATATTATTTAATCCCAGTCCATCCGGGAAACTCTTACTACATGTAATGTCATGAGGGAAAACAAGAATAACTTAAGATAGGCGAAGAAACCTTGTGACCGTGTAAACAAAAAGAAACAAAACAACACAAACAAACAATGCGGTGTGTTAACCTATATCCTCTTAAAAACTCAGTTAATACCAAAACTATCATGCAGCACAACGCTGGTTTCCCTCTTTCATCCTATTAAGCTACAAAAGGATGTTTGTGTGGAGCTGGAAGTCAATCTTGGAAAGCGACTTACACTTTTCTTGGCTAAGAGACTTAGTGTGCCTCGAAGAATAACTTTGGACACCTCTTGTTTTTTGTTCAGATTTGCAAAACAGAAAAAAGAAGAAATGCAATAAATCATGTATGAACCAAAATTACAATAACTTTAATTACTTAATGCAATAATTTGTTTGACAGTACAATATTGACTTAACTTGTATCAGCAATGTGATATTGACTTACAGAATCTAATGAAGCATTAGCCTTGACTTAAGATCTTGCAGAATTGACATATTCTGATCAATAATGCAGATGAAAGTAATGAATGGCGAAAGCCCAAAAGAGGGTGAGGATGTTTTTGTACAGTAAATTAAACATAAACAATGTTTCTTGAACATGACCTGCAAGCCCCGAGCAGTACCCGCTTTATTTATTGTCTCATCGTCACCACATAAGCTATTGTGCTACGTCATCACATGGAGATTTCAGCAGTGATGCGTTTGTATGTAGAGTACCAGTAATCTTCCATCCAGTTAACTGACAGTCAGCTCTTAAGGGAACCACAACAAAAGGTGTCCATCAAAAGTGCACGTGTGGATTTATGCAAATGACACAGATACAGTGCAAAAAATAGATCAAATGCACACGTGCACAAACTAACACACACATAAACAGAGCTTTATCTCAGAGCCCACACATGGACAGCTTTTGGAGAAAGCAGACATGCCAACATCCCAGCCAAGGATCCTCTGCCACACACATGCCCACTGCAGGAATCCCTCTCTGCCTGAATCTCTCTCACACACACACACACACACACACACACACACACACACTACTGTTTGTCTTTCTCTCTGTAAATCACTTACATTTTGACTCCTCAATTTACTAGTTAAAAACTCTTAAAACTCAACCCCTTCTACTCTCATTTAACATTCTAGTCAAGGAATATGCCAATATTGTTTGTTTCAAAGGTTTCACTGCTGGACACAAGAATTCCCCTAAATGTCCATTCTCAGGGTACGTGCACTGGAGCTTTCAAGTTCCCAGAACACAAATTAAAGAATTCTGGATCACGATTGGCTCTAAAGTAGATGTAATGTCACAAAATCTACGTAAAAGTGTACAACTAAGATGGAAGCTTGTCTCCTTCAGCAGATGAATATGACAACAGCCCTCTGGTGTCAAACTGTGCACAGAGAAGGTCAAACTTCAAAGTGAAATAACAACAAACTTTACTGTTTTTGAATTTGTTTGATTTCTCTTTTAGCCTCTCATTCTCTCGTCTTTTCACAATCTTCTTTCAAGCAACCTTCACAGCTCTGCTGCGTATTCCACGACTCCTTTTGTAGGTTCATGTGTTTTAATCTCTACTTGCAAAGGTAAAGCAAGAGAGCAGGAAGAATGAGAAATATATTTCAACAGTAAAATGTAATATTTACAGAAAGTGGGTGACTTTCTGTACCACTCAAGACTTAACAGTTCTTCTTTTGAATAATACTCTTCAAGGATATTCAAAGAAGTTAGCACGTAATGGACCTCTGATACACAATGTTCCACCAAACTCTTCTCCTTTCCTTGCCCCCCTCTTCTCTTCTGCCCCCCTCGCTTCTCAGCGGTAGTTCCGCTGCTACAGGTGGGAGCTATAATTAATCGGAGTGGAAGCTGCGTTGTTGACCTTTTCGCAGGTGATCATCGCCACGATGCGCCCAGTAATCGGTCAGCCATCACTCTTCAACCATCGCCACTGCAATTATCACACTGTCACTCACTCACATACACGCGCAGAAAGGATGGCACCACAGAGAAAAAAACATCTTGCAGAACACCCACTGCACAGACAGACCCGTGACTAAAGCATGCATCTGCTGAGAAGAACCTGCAATATCAAAAATTCACATGCAATTTACTCCGTTCTCACACTGCCTGCTTCTGTCTATCGCACACACATGTGCATACACACTAGTCCGCTGTAAAGTATCCTCTATTAGCTGCCGGCTCTCTTTCTCTCTCTGGGTGCTGTACCTGACTATTACCTGTAATGACCGTGACATTACAATAATGATAACGGCGTTTGCTAATGCTGCACTTAGCACACATGCACACACTTGTACAGATAGATACACACACACTGTACACAAGCTACATTTCTTCAGTGTTTGTGAAGCTGGAAAATAGTGAAGTACTTTCACTTCAACCAACAGCATGTCCATCTACTCATTGTGTGTGTGTGTGTGTGTGTGTGTGTGTGTGCATATGTGTATGTCAGTGTGCAGGCATGGTGGTAAACGGATGTAAATGCTATAAGCAGCTCATCTATCCCTGGTACCTCACCACTTTTTGAACTGCCTCAGTGAGCTCCACCAGGTAGGGTAAGGTTCCTCAAAGTGTTGCTTTCAGTGTCCGACAATATCAGGAAAGGTCAGCAGTTCTCCTCTTCTGCTAAAACGCTCACACATAGTCCCTCTTTATGATCTGCGTGATCTCCTCCCATGCCTGCACACCCTCTGGCCTACCTATTTGTCTGCTGATTTTAAGGTCTGCTGCATGTGTCACCCTCCTAAAAGTTTCTACATCACTGCCCACACGAGCATTGAAGTACCCCCAGCAGGACCCCGAGATGCACTGAATCACAGCTAAAGATTTTAGCTATCATAACTCACTTGTATTGGAGCACGGGACTAGCCTGGTTGGTTGGCACAACTTCAGTTTTTCTTTAAATGCTAATAATTTACATTTTTTTAAATCCTATATCCAGGAATGTAGAAATCCTACATTCCTGTCAATATATTTTTTTCAAATGTTGATATGCTCGTGTCTCCATGATAAAGAGTACATAAGAGAGCATGTTTGATTCGTCTTTTTTCTCTCTCTATTAGATACTGCAGGTGTGTACCGACCCAGGATGCAGTAAATGCAATGAGCAGGGTGTACTTACCCTTTCATTTACCATTGCCGATCAGTGTGCATGTGTGTGTGTCTCTGTGTGTGTAAACAAGTCAAGGTATCACAATCCGCTTTGAACAAAGCTTTGATTGATTTGCCACAAAGAAAAGTAGGGAATCACAGAGCCATGCAAACTCTCAATTGCTTTCACATCATCATTCGTTCTATTCTTCATGTTTTTTCCAAGGATGTCACTGTGCAGGGTACACTACAACCATGATGCAGTTTACCTCACACAGCACAATTGAGTGATAAAAAGATGTTATTCTCAATTGGCCACAAGATCTACATTTCAATGAACGATAGGCTAATTGTTATGTTTATGTTGCTCTATCTCTCCATTTCCATCTCCATTTCTACTCCTCCCTCCATCCGCCCTCAACTCTTTCTTTATCTTACTGTGTCTCCTTCCTTGTCAAGGCGCAATTATTTGCAATTTGCCTAAGTCATCCATTTGCTGGGACACCAAGCATGAAAACGAGGTAATTTGGTGTAAAATGGAGGCAGACGGGCATCTGAGCATGTATGTATGAGTGTGTGTGTGTGAGGACACGGCAGGGGAAGGTCCAGGCGCTGGTGGGGGGCCATGCAAGAACTGTCACACAAAAGTGAAAATTAATGCCATTAATGCACACTGAGATAAATCTGTGTAAGTGTGTGTGTGTGTGTGTGTGAACCTACCAGTCTGCACACATGACAATGTCAAAGTGACCCTCTAGTGCCGAAATGTCTGACTCCGAGTCCCACCTCACCACCCTGTAAGCACACACATAAAACAGAAACCAAAGTTTAGTGTTTGCAGACTGAAGAAAGCCAGTTTTCATGAAACTGCACGTCGAGCAAACAGCAGTTTGTCTTTGACCGCCTCTTCTCCCTCTTTTCAACACTTTGAGTTCCCTTACACCCACTGTTCTTCTGCTTCAGTAGAGACTTGGAGAAAGTGTCAGGGAGGGACGACATGTCATCTGTGAGGTAAAGAGAAGGAGCTTCTGACATGACACTTGACATTTATACCATGTGAACACACACACACACACACACACACACACACACAGACACACAGAGAAGAATATATATGTTGCTATTCAACATCCCCACTGTCCTGTCCTCTCGCCTCCTTTTTCTAATCTCATTGGCGAAGCAGATTTACGATATAAATATAATGATTAAGAATACAAAAAGACAACAAATGCTTTGCACATTACTAAACAACATATACAACCCTATATACACTAAAAAACACAAAATGATGAAGAAAAAAATATGTATATTAATATATAAGATGTGCTATCGTGAAATGGGAATAGTAAGAACCAATAAAGAACTTTTTGTTTTGAAGGAGCGCATGCTTTCTTTTCCATCAAGCTCTGACATGTTTGGTTACTTCGATGGCAACGTCAGTTTTTTGCGCAGTAAAATATCACATTGTAGTTTGTTGTTTTGGTGGGGAGGGAGTCAAATTCTAGCCTTTTTGTGCAGGAAGTGGCGCTCTGTTTCTACGCGTGATGATGGCAGAACGGACAGTCTGTTTTCTCTGGGTTGCCAGGTTTGTTTGTGTCCACCAGTCTCAATGGCCAGATGGTTGTTTGTATTTCATTAATTTCCTTCTCAGTTACTTGGTCATTTCTGTTCAGTGCTAAACAGCATTGAAGTTTACTTTTTGTAGTAGATTACCAGCAGCTTGATTGTTCCAGATACTGTAAGGGTGGCGCTAACGCTGCGTACCATTGCCAGCGTCCATCTCTTTTCCACACCATTTTCCTTCTCTCTCAGACTGTTAGGCAGAGTGGGGGATTATTAATTAGGCATTATTAACACCCAGTAAACAAAACATTAGGCCCCGCTAGAAACACAATCTCAATTCACGGCAGGTGGTCCCTATACGCGCACACACATACGCATGCATGTGCTTACACCATCATGCGACATGCCCCTCCCTCTCCCTCCCCTAGTCCAATCGCATCGTGCCCTTTGCCCTCTCTTGCGGTGCAGCAATGACAGCAGGCATAATCTGAAAAGAAAACAATCAAAGTAATGTAGCCTAATTATACCTTTACTTTTTCACTCCATTGTCCACTCATGTAAATACGCGCAGGGGGGAGAAACGAAGAGAGAGAGAACGAGGGAAGAGGTAGGGGAGCAAAAGAGTCAGTCAATGATGAAATACCTTTTTTGAGGCCGCAACAACAATTAGATACGTTTTAGCCCGTCCTTGAACATTATGCGTGTGTGGGTGCAGGTAGTGGAAAGCCCTCTTAATGGTCTCTCGATCTCTATCAGAGGGAATCATTTTGCTCGGATGCACATATATGTACACAAACACACACACACACACACATACTCGCACACAGACACATCCTATATGAAGAATGGATATTACAGGATAAGCTTGATCTTTTGCTGTTCAAAATTAAAGACAGATAATAATCTAATTGTATTGTTTTCATACAAGAGATTCGTATAATACAATGGTATAAAAGATGTGTTGGTTCAAAACATCACTTACAGTTATTTGATGTGAAAATGTCAGCCACTAGTTAGGTCAAATACTGTAGTGGACATGATATGTTAGGTTGATGATCCAACATTGAAAACTAAAACATTTTAAGAAAGACAAAGAGCCAAGAAAATAGTCTCACCTGGCAGATACCTGTGTTGACCCAAACTTTCCAGCTTGCCTGTTTCTTTCGGCCAGCCCTCGAACATCTGACGCACCACGGTCAAGGATTCATCAAAGACACACACATTACATCCTCAACTGTATCGTGATGCTTGGAGATCTTGTACAATGTGAAATAAATGTTATCTCTATTTGCATACAGTACAAATGGCCAAAGATGTTTACAGGAGATAAAAATCATCGTTAGAAATGACTGAATCCTTGCAAATGGGCCTCAAGTGGACTTAATTCAAAAATAAAAGCATCTCTGAAACCATGCCTAATCGTGGGTGAGGGTTGAGTACATGTGTACATTTACATGTTGGAAACACGTTGTCCATCTCACTGTTGCGTTGTCCACCTTTTTAACTGCCACAAGAGTAGCGACAGAGTGGGCTACGGCAGAGCCCGCAACACAACCACAAGTTTAACTGGAACACGCATGAAGCATGCACTCATCCTTCCCCTCGAATGACAGGCAAACAGAGAGGGCCGGTAAGGAGGCAGACAGGGCCGGACAGCTGGTAAAAAAATGTATGGATTTTTTGACGGTCCACCTGCCATGATGTATCCAGGTTGCCAGATGGCCAGTACACCACTGCTAGCTGGCAAATTGTGTGGTAAGTAAGTGGCGTAACTCTCGATTGAGCAGAAGAACCACAGATGCCATGTGCTCTAGTTTTCATACAGCGCAAAAGGGAAATCAAGACTCTTTTTAGTTAAAAACACATATGGTAGACAACCACATATAGACAGCATGAGTGAGCAGAGATGATCTTCTGGGATAGAGAGCCAGCCTGCAGAAGGAGATCACAGCAGCCTCTCGCTGGATCAATGGGAAAGCTTTTAACCACAGACACACACATTTACACTGTCCCTCTCGCACACAAAGGCAGGGCGATTGATGTCAAGTTGTCTGGTAATACACTGGCTTGTGGAGTTGCAAAGCAATTCAATTAGGATTTCCTTGTCTTTAAAGCCTGCAAAGAGCTGAGACAAATCCAATCGACAGAGACAGAGAGTGAGAGAGCAGGAATGCGTGATAAATTGATAGATGGATTGATAGCTGGAGAGCTGATCCAAAACCAAAGAGGCCTCCCAGACACACTATAATATGTAGGTTAGCGCAAATTTATACACAGGCGCACTTACACAAGCATAAGCACACAACACACACACATACACACACACACCCACGCTGGACACCTGTGCATCAGTGTATTATGCATAGGGATGACAGGGCGAAGAGCAGGGCAGCTTACAGTAATCTCATCACCAGCACACCACTGGGGGAGAGGTCAGCGCATGCACGCACACACAAGAAGAAATAAAGAGGAAAAAGTGAAAGAGAGTGATTTGAGTACTATTGAACATTAAAGTGGAGGAATATTTGCTCCCATCACTTGAAGTAGACATGCATCAATCATTCTTAATGGAACATTTCAATTGATTTTCAACACAAGTATTGAAGGTCAGCAGAGTGTCTCCTCTCTATGGTGTGTCTGTGTGTGCGTGTGTGTGTGTGTGTGTGTGTGTGTGTGTGTGTGTGTGTGTGTGTGTTTCTGCAATAGAAATGAGGTCAACAACTTCTAAGGAAGGGGAAAATCTATTCACTGCATATATCAAAATGTCATCTATTCACAACTTCCCCTCCCGTTTATCTTCTCATCTATGTCACTGTGTAAAACTGAGCCATATCACAACCCACTATCTCTTTCTATTGTAACACTGGTAACACAATCAGGGCATGGGAGACAAACAGTGGCCATTAGCACAAGGCTAAGACCAACAGCTTCCTCAGAGGGAGGAAATGCCAAAGAGTGTCTGCAGTATGGGACAATTTGGCCAAGCCCAGAATAAATTATTGTTGTCTTTCTCAACCCTCCCTCTCTCTCTTTCTGTGTGTGTCCGATCTATACTCGCTATGATTTCACTTACAATTCTCTCTATGCATTTGTTCTGTGAAACAAAGCAGTCGGTCAATGGTGTATTGTTTGTGTGGCCAAGTGTGTGTGAGTGTGTGTGTTTTACAGGCTCCATAATGTTATTGTTTGGGTCTTATTGCGATCAGTAAAGGAGCATTGTAGCCAGATGAGACAGAGATATTGTCAGCACAGCTAAATATGGAAGTGCCATGTCGGTCACTGGAAGAAATTTATATTTCCTGTTTCTATGAAACCTCTGTAGCTAGTTTATGATGATTTTTTTCTTCTCTTGTCCGTTAAGTTATCGAGTGAATTAAGCAAGATCTGGGCGGATGGGAGAAAAAGGACAAGAATGATGAAAGAAGATGGGATGAAAAGAGAGGAAAAACAAGAGGCTAAAAAGGGGATCAGACAGGGAGAGGTGTGAAATGGGTAGAAAAGAAGAGCAAGATGGTTTGCAAGCTGCCAGAGTTGATCAATAACCCATTCAAAGAACAAATGTTGGCAACAAAAAAAAAATCTCACCTAAAGATTTGTCCTAAAAACTTAATTATAGGCCTAAACCTTAACCACACAAAACATTTCAAACAAACCTTGATTGTTCCTGATTTTAAAACACTCATCAAGCCCTAACCCTAGCCTTAGCATTAGATGAAGTCTCAAACAAAATCTGACAGGATGGCAATTACTGTGCTCTTAACATGGCATTGTGGGCAGCTAGGATTGGTAGATGCCATATTGAGCGCTAGTGCTGGTATTTGTCACTGTGGGTGCCCCATCTGCTGCTTCTGCCTAAAGAAAAAAGAGGTGGATGGCTATTTTTCCTTCACTCCAACCCAATCTCTGATTTCAAGGCTGAAACACAATACAGACACTACACGGACACAACACGGACACAATACAGACACTACACAGACACTATACGGACACAATACGGACACAATACAGACACAATACGGACACTACACGGACACTACACAGACACAATACAGACACAATACAGACACTACACAGACACTACACGGACACAATACAGACACTACACAGACACTACATGGACACTACACAGCAGGGCAGCATGTTTAGTTTTTGTTTAAACCGGAGGATGTAGTGGATTTTACAGACTCAAAAAGAAATGTTTTCACATGTGAAATCCGCCACGTGTCCGAATCTGTGATTTTTGAATTTCACACATTAAATGTAATGAACCACCCGTGCGTTTCAGTCAATGTATCACATGTTAAATCCTGTTACACATGTTATATTAGATGTGAGATTGTTGTCCTTTACGTTCACACAAAATTGACGTTTTAACTTTTATAATCTATATCGTATAAATTAACAAATATAAATGTGCTAAAATCGCATGTCTCGATATGTAAATTCATATGTGATTTTTATGCACAGACAAACAACACATTTTCTAACTGAAACCCCAATAACAAAAAAAAAAGACAAAAGTTCTCACATAAATAAATCCATATGAATGCAAATAAATAAGTGTGAGCTGGAGGAATGAGGCAGAGAAAGAGAGATGGAGAGAAGACGATGAAAGGATACTCTGAATGGACTTCTCGTTCCCATCTGATAGCAGAACTTCCCTCACGTCAGCACAAATGGCAACCTGAGAGACAGAGAGACAGGAAAGAGAAATGACACAACACAGAACAAAAGAACAAAACCAAAAGCACCCTTAGATGAAGCAAACATCTGAACGCATGCACACACACAATAATGACATAACCATATCTACAAAGCTTCACTCTTGGCAGCCCAGCCCGCCGCACTCCCTCTCTCTCTATTGCTCCCTCTCCTCCCTGCCATTTCCCTCTCTATCTTCACCCCATTTTTATGTCTGCATTATTTTAATCATTCAATCAAATCAGTCAATACTTTTATCATTGTGGCTAGCGGTGGGGGCTGCTATCTTGCTATCACTCTGTTCAGTAATTGCATTGTGACAGGGGATGATGGCAAGCGCAGAGCCTTTTCATTTGACGCTGGGTGTTTATCGGGCCGAGCCATCACTCCGTTCGCCGCTGTCACTCTGCACTCGGCTCGCCGGGCCTGCCTGATGCCCTTCATATAACTTTGTGGTGCAGACTGTGAGAGGCGAAGAAAAAGAGAGGGAGAGGGAGCGAGACGGGGAATGGATAGAAAGCTTTGTGCTCCACTGTGTGAGGGAGATAGAGATAGAGAGGTGTGTGCTTTAGTATAACCTCATCATTTCACATTCTCTTTTCTTTGCAGATGCCTTTTTTATATCACAAAGTGTGTCAGGCTGTCAATTTTTGTTAAGGAGTGTGTGTGTGCATATGCCCATGGGTGACTGTAAGTGCAAGTGGCTA